CGCTCGGACTCTGGTGCACATGCAAATTGAATTAAGCCCGGATTGCTTTTCTCTTTCCGTTTTTTTCCATCGACATAGGAAGCTTTTAAATGTGCATTCAGCGTTAATCAAGGCCAGGCGTCAGCCTCACAATCGGTCTCCTTTATTTCCTTGTCGTTCATGCTAACCAAATCGAAGGGCTTTGTCATCCGATAAGGTCGACGAACTCTTTCTTTCCACGCCCAATAATACCCGTAAACTGACTAACAGACAGTGACTGATGCTGATGGCTTGACCCCGTTGTTATGGTGTCCCCAAAAAGATACATAACGCAGCGGAGCTCACCCCCATCTGACCTTGGAAATGTCTCTGTTAGTCTGTTTATCAATATCATGTGGCGCCGTAACACATGCCACACACGAAGCGAAAATAGCAACAAGAAGCCTGGCAATCGTCAGGATGCAGAACTCGCCGAACTATGAAATACCCTTTAAAATTCGCATAATTTGTGCTATATATGATGCCTTTTCTACTATATTGACTTGATTCATACTGAATTTGATGAGCTTCCTTTGCCATTTGTAGATGTAAGAAACTTCCATACTTTCCCTTTAAAACGACCTGCTTAAATATCAAACACTCTTTTTAGTAAGGATATACAAACCTTGCCACATTTTTTATGTTTTTATTAAGACTCCGGCAGGCACATTTAGCACGTACATACAAAACAGAGGTCTCCTAGACACCCGAGATGAAAAGCCTGGGTCTAAGCGCTCCTTTTTCCCTACAACGGAATGGGTTTTGCCTGGTTCACTGATGGCGCGTGTTTCATTCGAACGGAAGCCATTTATGAAATTGATTGCGACAAGAGAGCAACAAAAGCAAAAACATCAGAAGCCACAACAATAACCACATCTCACGGGTTAAAAGTAGACTTTGATACGGACACATTGGAAAAGGGATATACGCGTCATTTGATGACGCAAGCAGCTGAGTTGCGGCTCAGTCTGTTGAGTGTCCATGGAAATGCACAGATAAAAATCACCAAAATGATGGGTTTATTATGGAAGATTACATGGAAGATTACATGGAATCTTCAGGCTGAAGAATTCGCGTTTCCAGCGCTCCTGCACTGTACCAACTATAGTCCAAAGCTGTGCTATAAATATTCTTTTTAAAATCTTGATGATTTTTTTCAGTGCGACTGCGTCTATCTGGATAGCTTGTGTGTGAAGCGAGCGACCTGTCAATTTTGCTTTTGTCGGGTGTCAAAGTTAAGCACTTTGGATAGTGGTTATTGCACGCGAGATAATCTTCAAGTGCTTAATGCTCAGGGTGGAGCGGAAACCACTATTAAATTTTGGATAAATGCTCATGCATCGTTGACAAATATACAGCAGCTGTATAAAAACGAAACTTTTTTTTGTAAAGAATTAATATTCATTCAGATACTACAAATTTAAAATATTGCACAATTTTTACAAGCACATATTATGTTCCACAGGAGAGCTATGCCCGCTGACGTCAGCGTTAGACCTGGGGGCAACTTAAAGTATAAACGGACTGAGCTGGACACACGGAAATGGTTGTTGTAAGTGCTACCTGCCGCATTGATTATCCTCGGTGAAATTGTTTATCACCTGCCACGGGCACTCCCACTCATGTAAAATGCGTAAATTCATGCGATGGCAGGAAAGTTCATCTAATTGCCGAAGACCCTTTGGTCTTTCGCCCTATTTATAGAGTTCCCGGGGGTATCCTTAAGCCCTTTCCCGACTCCGTGCGCCACTTTCAGGGGTATGCATAATCAATTTATGCGTGTGCCGGTCTGGGTCTATAAATTAATTCAGGCGTTAAAATAAAATGCCCACTCGGCGGGTCCATAAAAAGTTGATGTGCCAAAGTGCACACACACCCAAGCTTAGCGTCGCTGATCAAGTGCGATTTAGATGCACAACAGGGTACCAAATACAGTGGGGCCTCGATTTACTTTATCGAGATAGTACAAATAATTTCCACGTTTTTTGAGATAAATGATTTATATTTGCTTTAAATAAATCTGATTAAATAAAGCGTCCCAGTCTAAATTTATTTTACTTTCTTTTCTTCTAAAACAGGTTTACCAAATGCACATCGTATTTGACGCACAATCAAAAATTGTAAATTTGTCATTAAGATGTAGGTTTTATTCAGCAGAGATAAACGTGCAGAGCAATAAAAGAAAAAGTAAGTCATTTTTTCTTGGGAAATGCGTCAACGATGAATGAGTCTCTACTGTAAAAGAGGATGCAAAGCGCCATGGCGCCTGTCTAACTGTATTTAAGAAGAAAGTGGAGATAGAGGAATGAGATAAGATAGAGCAGGCAGGGAATATAATTTATCGGCAAAGCTTATCCTTCTCTCCCTCCCGCTCGTGCCAACACAGCGCTCTGATTTCATTCATGAATACCAAATAATGTGGAGAAGCCTTTCCGACTTCGTGGCCCCTTCTCCACTTACACTCACAAATGCATAAGTATGTATGGGTGTATATATGTATTTATAACCATGTTTGTATGCTGGTGGGCGTGAAAATGTCAGCAGTAAATACCATTTGAGCATTTTCCGTTGTGGAGCTTCCACACATTTGCTTAGATTTATTTCCACAATCTCTCGTTACCCAGCTTTTCGGCGTTTCTTTTCATCTTAGTTGTCCCAGGCAATAAAGGCAAACAACAAGTACAAAAAAGGAATTAAATAACAAACAAAATAGGAAAAGTTTTCCTTGTTCTTTTTCGGGACCCCTTTTCCTCTTTGAAAGGGATTTTTAATAATCTTTAACTTTTTCCATCTTAAAGGAAGTGTTCTGAAACTCAGTGGGGTTATGTACCAGGTATCATTTAAAAAAGGCAAGCATCCAAATTATCTATGTACACTTTTTCGTTATCTTAAGTTTAAAATTTAAAATAAAATATAAAATATTGTTAAAAAATTTTAAGAAAAATGCGTTAGCAAAGACAGCAAATTATAGTTAAGTTAAAACAAAAATTGGCCTATTATTTGCATAACTGACCAATTGTGTTTAAGGTTTCATTTTCAAATTTCTGGGGGGTGTACGCAGAATTATGCGAGTAAGTGTACATATGTAAGTAAAAAATTACTCAGCAAACTGATAAACATTTTGTGACTCGAGAGACTCAAAGTATAAATTTCTAAAGAGGGCATCTTAAATTAAGAACTTGACCATGACTGCAGCCTTGGGAAAGTGGCTTGCACTGCAAGAAAAAAGCGTCAACAAAAGAACTCTTGAAAATGTTCAGTATCAAGTTCAATGAAAAGCTGGCATTGGCAGAGCAAGATAGAGGCAGCATCCCACCCTTTCGCGCTTGCGAAGAGATACCAATTTCAAGCAATGTCAAAAGCTAGAGTGCAATGAATAGGACAAGCACAAACATGTGGACAACCCACCGTTTATTTGACAGGCTTGTTTGTTAGTGTCATGCTTCAATTGAAAATCGAAGGGGAGGAAGGGAGACGGAGAGACAGGGGTAGCATGTGTAACCCACAACGTTCTATTTGTAAGAGTGAGAGGTCAAGAGCTTTTAATTGGCAAATTGTTGTAATACACCAAAAACAAAAAGGGATAAGCGATAAGGAGTAAAGGAGATGAGGGCTAAGGAGAGGTAACAAAAGCGGCAGAACACTCACCGACTTGCCAAGTGCAAAATGCAATTCGCTGTTCTTATGTTTCTTCACACGTTCGTGCTTATCAGCGTTCCGTTTTATTCACGATTTTCGTTTCTTTCGTTTCCTTTGCCACTCGCACAGACAAACAAATAATAACGACGGGAAAGACAATCGAATGCAGTTCTTCCCAACAATTATATTTTCTATTGCGCGCTAGCGAAAAGCAATAACGTTCGCCGTTTCGATACGACTTTTGGATTATTTCCTGGCCTGGACACTGGAGCACCAACTTTTCGCTGCACTGCACTTTTTTTCGCCCGCGAGAGCGGTAGAGATGTAAAATAACATCTTTGCATCGAACAGCGATGTATCTTGGCGATAGTGGTCGGTTCCCTTTTTGTTATCGATGTTAAGCGATGCATCGGTTTATGTCTACATTCTACACCATCACCAGTTACGTATTTTAGCGAATATACCAACCCCATCCGCGCGGTTTTCAAAACACTAACAATAATGAATTATTGAATATTCAGTTTATAATATGCATCGAAAGAAATAAATATTATAATTCCTTTTTTGTTATTGTTTATATTTTCAATTCGCAGAGCCCGTATAGCCCCTTAAAAAAGTCAACCTTTGTTTGGTATCGCATAGTTTACGTTTATTTTGTTTGAGAAATGTCTAGAACACCAATAAAGTAAATTCAGTAGCAAACAAGTGGGATTAGTACTATTAAATATCCACTTGTCGCTCGCATTTATTGCTTCTTATGGCTTTCCTGGACTTAGGAAAATGTCTATATAAATACCAGTAATAAGAGTATATTAACCATTTCGGATATGGAAAAGGTTATACAATCCAAATGCTCTTCAAATAACGGTAGTAATTGATTATGAGTATTTGCCTCCATTTCATTGTTAGTAAGTAATTCGTTACAGTTTAATAATGGCTTTACAAACAATATAATACTGCGCATCTGCAACAGATTTGTTATCATTAGGATGCTACATAGCCAACATACCATAGGAAAACAATCAAAAGTAGCTGCTACATACTAATCAACAAATGTTATTTTCCCCTCCAACGGGTAATTGTAGTTTTTAAATATTTCTTAAATATTCTCAAGCACTTTGAATAAATATTTACGTGGCTTAAAAATAATTCAAATTTCATATTTATCTTGTGTGTACGTTTTCAACGGAATCTCAAAATTGCAAGGAAGATATTTGTTTGCTTAGTAGTTTTTATACGTTATATCTAGAATAATATAGCTAAAGATTAGGAAGTGTGCCATTTGAAAATAAAGAAATGAAAATTAGGAAAATCAAAACAAAAGGAAATAATAAATTTGCTTGGGTTTCGTTTATTTTCGTATAATTTTTTAAAGATCTTAGCTAATAAATTCTGCTAGGAAACAATAAAATTAAAAATTCTTTAAAGAATAATATCGAGATTAAAGTTTGATTTTGTTGATTTTAATACAAATTAAACTTACAGGACTACAAAATGAACTCGACTAACGACGTACGAAAAACAATGACGATTTATAAATTTAAATCTAAACAAGGTTCAAGGCCCGAGCTGAGGGAAGTTTTCTTAGCGAGAAATTTGCACAATGTGGATATGTCTCTGCGTGGATTCTGGAAAACTTGAAGGCTGTGTCAACTCTGGCTTGGTCCCTTCCCCAGCTGAAACCCTTTTCTCTAAATTCACATAGTCCGAAACTAAATGTTAATAACTAGTTTACATTGTAAGCTGCATCTCACATAAAAAGTAATGTACATTGGTTTTATGTTCTAATGTGTATAACTAGATCTGCCTTTTCTACATCCACATCTTGGTGTTTGTTACCCCCGAATAACAGCAAATTGAACAGCTTTATGAATTTTGGTTTTCGTTATACCACTCTATAGATTTCCACGAGTATTGGTTTTATGTATTATGTTAATGTATTATGTATTATCCCTTTTTACTAATGAAGTTTAACCTTGGCTTTTATACGGTTTCGCACTGTATAATAGTGAAAGGTGCAGAGGTATGTTTGCATGAGTTATAAGATGATCTCCGTCGAGCTCTGCTGCAGTGGATCGCACTGGTAGGACTCGGAGTTTGGTACCGGCGAGTACTTGGTGTTCTTCTTGCTGGAAGCTGCGGGATTCAAGGGTGCAGCCGTAGTGGTGGTGTAGCTATAGGTGGTTCCACATCCATTCAAACTGGTGACAGTGCTGACTAGTCCAGTTCCTGGAAATTTGGCTACCGTCACAACACTGGCTGTCAATGTGGCCGTGGAGGAATCATTACTTCCTGTGGTTCCTGACCCCCTTTTGGCAGTGGTTTTCCTGCGTACTGGCGTCTCCTGCAGCACGGCTGACTTCCTTATGGTCTGCTGCAGCAAGGCATTTACGTCGATTGCTGGCCAGGCGACCAGCGAGACACTTCGTCATAAGGAGTTATCCACAGGAGAAGATCCGCGTTTATGCTTGCCATGGGGATTGCGATTCCAGTGCTTGCAGGACGGTTGCTCCACTTCCTTCTCTTTTGAATCCTTCGCCTCCTTGTTCTCCAGCTTATCCAGTTTATCTCCTTCTTTGGTGGGAAAAGAAGTACCGCCTCCAGCGGCGGATGACAGAGAAAAGTACTCCGCTGATTGGCTTAATGAAGAGGCATCCGCATCGGTTATGTTGCCTCCGCCGATATCACTTCTCATGGTGTGATCTCCATGATCCTGGTCCATAAAGGAAGACCTGTGGGTGCTAAGGGGTGTCAGTGTACTGCTATGCATATCGTCACCATCTTGCGAAGGTGTAATGGTATGATCTGCAGCTGTACAGAAACTTTCCCGTTGTCCCGTGGTCTCGTCGTCTTCATCATCCGCTTCCTCCTCATCTTCCTGGGAACACGAGCCACAACAGCAGCTTGAATTCTGACAAGAGCAGAAACTTGCTCTCCTAGAACCGGGAATGCATTGGTGACACTCCGCTGCCACAGTCATTTCATGGGGTTCCTGTAGATCCTCATCCAAACTGCTGCAGGAACAGGAACTTGAACAACTGCTGCAGTAATCCTGTCCAGCCTCAGCTATAAACCTTTTTCTCTTGATGCGTACACACTCATTTCGCGCTGGAGCGGAGGCAGGATTTCCCCTTTTTGTGGAGCTGCTGGAACTATTCGTAACTGCTGGCTGAGTTAGTTGGGTCTCATCTTCTGGTAAATGGTGGGAGCCCATCTGCACGTCGTCATCATCTTCATCGCGAGACAGTTCATCTGTTTCAATTGTGGTATTGGAATTCAACGAACCCCTCCTGTGACGATGTTGTTCTCGAAGAGGAGCCATTATAATGGGTTTTACGCCCTCACTGGCCACCTTATACGGAAAATTCGAGGTGGCCGTGCTGCTGTTGTTTTCCTCTCCGTCCTCGCTCATCGTTGCTGCATCGATTTCTATGGCAATGGCCTGATGATGCATTGCCTCATCACTAGAGTCCAAGGAAGACTTGTTGTTGTTAGATGGAAGCATTTGTTTGTGATTCGTCTGCTTAATTTGCAGATGCTTCTGATGATGATGACTCCTTTTCTGGTGCAGCAGAGCTCGTCTCTTTGTGCTGCTATAGTGACAATGGTGGTGGTGGTGATGATGCCTATGGTGATTGCAGTGGCAGTGGTGATGATGGGTGGTGATCACACAGCAGCAACTCCCACCCTCCAATCTAGTTTGGGTGGCATTATTTCGCTTCCTGCGGCAGCATCCACTTGCCTCCTGAGCCCCAATCAGTCTCTGCTCTTTGGAAGCCGGGGAATGGACAATGACGACCTCCAAGGCAGCTGCCATGCTGCTATCATCCTTACTCTTGCCACTGCCTCCTGGTCTGGGCAACATCTTGTTATTATTGTGATATTGAAACGCACGATTATCGTGGCACTGACCAAAGTCCAGCACCTTAAAGTGCTCGTCATCCGCTCGAGCCGTCAGCAGATGGTCGTCTCCGCTGCTGCTCACTGTGACGGGCAGCGAAAGCTGATGCTCCTCGGATTGGGATGTATGTAGGTCGTGGGGATGGATGTGCTGTGGCTGTTCTTCGGGGGCAAACTGCTAATCGCCGCGGCGCAGATCGCGCGGCTTGGAATTCTTACGGTAGAACCACACCTGTGACAGGATCGCTATGTCCAAGCTGACCTGAGGTTCAACATAAATAGTACACCATTAGTGTTCTGAGAACATATACTTCTAAGAATTTATAAAACACTTGCCTGCAGCGTGCCACAGATCCAGAATTGCGATGGTGCTTTTCTAACAATAAAGTAACCAGTCTTAAACATATCACCGAGCGTCCACATGATCACCATGTGTATGCTCATTCCATATGTCGATTTATTCTTAAAGTTGCGCAGAAATTGTGGCGCCCCTGCATGCAAGAGAAATAAAAACAAGATTGATATATAGCACCATCATTTTGATTGGTTTACACTCACCCAACATGGCTTCAGTAAAGACGGCAACGAAACCCATGGATTCCATGAACCAATGTACGGACAACATCAGATATGTTACGGCGGCACCAACGGCCCACACGACTAGCATAAAGTCCAGATACGATTGGAAGTCTGTCCAGTTCCAAAAGTATTTGAAGTCCAGGTCTGAAAAGCAAATAAATTCATGATAAATGATTGACTTCAACCATATCTTCACTAACAACCAGCTCAATGAGTTAGTTCACCCAGCAACTCAATCCTACCTCGAAAAACTTGTACTACTCTTTTCTTCATCTTACCATGATTGAAATAAAGTGCAAACAATGCATGCTATTTCACTTAGCTACAGTAGGAAAGCAAAAGGTCATGACCCCAGCAATTTAAAACTCTACCAATCATTCACAGCCAGAACCAGGCCAGGCTACACCAGAACGACTGCAGAGGGGAAGCCAGTTGGAAATCAATTTTCATTATCTCTGCCAGCTTTTAGGCGCTGCACAATTTACGACCAGCCATGTACAAAGAAGCCCAAGGCGTGCCAATATAATTAGCTCATGTCGGTGTGGGTGTATATTGGTTCTGCTCTCTGGTTCGCTGATCAATTTACCGCCTGGAACCGTAGCTCCTAACCCAGTTTCTTGTTTTTCTAGTTTCTGATAAGAAGTAACGATGGAGAAGAAATAAATGTGGCAAATGCGGCAAACGAGCTTTTCGCTCAATAAAGATATGGTTTGATAAAAGCAGCAGAAGGTACTTCGCTAATGGAATTACAATGCCCTAACTTCCCACACTCCCATTTGATTTTATTTCAATCTGCTCTGCAAACTGACACAGGAAACGGCCGTCAATTGAGTGAAAAGCTGTTTGTACTCCGAATGTGTCAGCCAAAGCATATATGGATGTTATGCTAAAGTCTTGAACCGGAAATCAATGTAAGCTGCAGACTCTCCCTTCTTTGCCCATCAATATACCTAGACATGTCGACTTGTTAAGTATTATGAAGTCAAGGCCGTGGAACCAGCTGACTCACCATTGAGATAGTGCCGGGAGCGAACTCGCTTCAGGACGCTGCCACCCGCTTCGGTGGATACAGAGGCGCCCGTATCCGTGTCCGTCATCACTTTGGGCAAATGCAGTTCATCGCCTGGAAGAAGAGGAGGGCAAGTTGACATGTTTATCCTCCGGGTGACAGGCTTTAAACGGCTGATGGGACTCACCTCGCAGGGCGTGCTCGCGGTTATTGGCATTAACTCGCTTCACCTTCACGCACAGATGGATCATCAGGAACATGGTCACGTTCATCACGACACTCTGCACCAGCAGTGGAAGCTCGTAGCGGCTGGAGAACCTGCAATCCAGAGGGAAATTGGGTAAAGGTCAATCGGAAAGGTCAGCTCAAAATGACATTTTAATTGACTGCCCTATCGAGATGCGGTTGTGTCCTTGGCGGTATATCATTTCCATATAATTAGGACGTGTTGTTCGAGGAATTTAGTTCGAAATTGTAAAACAAACACAATTGGAAAGTTAATTTGGAGTGGCTTTTTTTAACCATTCGCCAGTTACAGTCCCAACTGAATCAATGCTTGATGATTAGACACACATTAAAAAGAAATACGGAAGGTTATCTTAACATATTACTTATTTATGAGACTCAATGCTCTCTCCACAGCACCCGAAATCATAAAATATAATTATTATTTATCACCCTGGAGTTGACAAGTGAATGCTGCACAATGTAGTGTTGATTACAGCTAATTGACAGGTGCTAAGGTGGCGCCCGAACAGGGACAACAAGTGATTGATGTGCGGCCAACTGCATAAATTACTCCCGAACCAAATCGATTGTAAGGGCCCAAGGAGTAGGTGCTGGAAAAATCCCAGCACTGTGTCAAGCGGCACTGTCATAAATCTGACAGATGCCAAGTGGGTGAAAAAGGGTCCCCGAGCACAAACAACAAACAATGGGTGAAACGTGTTGGGCATTTGGCAAGGCCCCAAACAAATGCCGAGCAGCCAAAGGCAAGTCCCCAGATTCGCTGGGGATTTGTTGTGATGAAAGTCCTGATGTCCAACCAAAAGTCATTCCCCAATGTTATTAAAAAAATACGACAATTTGTCGGCATTTCACTGGCGCAGATTAGTGGAGCCAACTGCTTTACTAAAGCCACAGCTGTAGCTCGCAATCACAACAGCAAATAGCATACATTTCCGCGTTTCTTCCGATTACCAGATAGTAAATTGCGGAAAGCGCGGAAATTGTGCCACGGGGACTAATCGCTCTGGCGGGGCATCGGAACTCGATTACCAGTTGGGCCAAGTCAATGCCATGCCACGGCTTCAACTAAATCTCCATAAATACATTTTACACTTCGATTGGGCTAGAGCAATTCAAGAAATTTACTTTTGCAGGGGTGCCTTTCCACCTGCATTGATTTTAAATTAAATATTTAACATTAAATATTTAAAATAGCAATGCTTAATAAAGAAAATGCTATCCTAAGCTCTGCCCCGACACCCACAAAATCATAGCAACAAAGCGTGCTTTTTGAGTTGGTATAACAACTGCAAATTTCTGAAATGTTAATATTTTCAGTGCAAACACTCCAATTTGTACGCTCTGGACGAGAGAACTAACACCCCAAACATCGCTGTGCCTTCGTCACTAGTGCAAATGGTTAACTTTACCTTTTCAATTGGCAAAAGCTGAAAAAACACACCGGCACCTCCTTCCACCCACGGGCATAGCATTTGCACGCTTCAACGTGTAAAAAATGTCGTAAAAAATCGATAAAATCGTATACGTGCATTACAAACAGGCATGAACACATATACGAGTATACCGTGCCGCATTTGGCGGTGTGCCTGAGCCTGCAATGTAAACAATTTTCCAACAAGCGGGCAGCAGCACCACCCACTTTTCACCTGCATTTTCAGGCTCACTTTCACTGGCAATTTGCTCGACTAGCCGCAGCAATTTGACTAAATAGGCGAGCCCCGAAAATGTCACTTAGGCTTGATGAAAGTTTTATTGATGGAATTTGTCGGCGGGGCTGGGAAATTAAGTCACCAAAATGGAGCCAAGCAATTTGCAAGCTGTTATACATGTGTTAGGGCTTTGTTCAGCACCAACCTTTTGTGTCTGTTCTAGCCATAATTAAAATTCCGCGTTGCCTTCGGCGCCTTGTTTACTCAAGTGGGGGTGCGTTTTGTCTGCCTGAATTACACTCGCTGTCGCCTGGCTATGGCTTATGAAAAGTAAACAATTATTGCATAGGTAGGTTGCCGAAAAAAACCAAACACCTTTATATGTCAGCAGAGGGACTGCTTATATTATATCTTATTTATATTCCAATTATCTTCCAATAAATGCGACTAAAATATGCTCCCAGCTATTGTCCTATAGTTCCGACCGCGCCTGTAGGCGATTTTGTGTAAGCCAAGGCTGGCGCTGTGCGCTTAACACAAATTTCATTTGGCCCAACTGGTGTGGACGCCTGTAAGTAGGCTGCACTCGTCGTGGGCCGAAGTCCTCATCATTGTCCCACCGCTGAAGGGCTCCTAACTAACGGAACCGAAAGCACTTGAGGCCGTACATTCCGGTTATTTCGGAACCACTGAGCAGAGTGTTGGCCACGTTAGTAGATTGCCTGCTTCGAGATTTGTGTAAACACACAAGCTGCCGCCTGATGAGCAGTGGGAACTAAGAACCTACAGCCATAGCACAATTTTTCCACCAACCATTGAGTAAATGAATGTATAGAAAGGATTGCCAGCCGCTGATGATGATGAATGGCCATAACTGGGTCGATCTACAGCCCAGATGGATTTTGTGGTGTGCCGAGCTAAGCTGCTCGGAGTGACCTTGTCGGGGATAAAGGATGCAGTGGCGATGAACTAGAGCGCAGATGAATACCGATTGCCAATGAGCTGAACAGTATGTGAGTTAAGTGGTATGTGCCGAAACTTGAACATTAAATGCAAAGATAGATGAGTTATAAGCGTATGATGGTGAGATAACACAATGACTATGACAGAACTGCCAATAGGTAAATACAGAATTATTATAAAACTTAAAAAAACGCCACAGTCAAGTAATTCGACTATCAGATGCCCATTACTACGATAAAGAAGATCCTACGGAGATGGAGAAAAAATCCTTAAGTATGGGGTCGCCAGATTAAAGCGCATACCAAAATCCTGTATAACTTTTTCGGAATAACTTTTGAAAGAAGAATTTGAATCATGGCAGCGTAATACCAAGAATATTCCTACCTAGAATATACTTTCACTCTACGATTGTCAACTCCATATTACAAAAACTCCTATAAGAGCAACAGAAAGCTGCTATGGTCTCCGAAAATAACAAAGTAAATCGAAAAATAAATATTTATTATACCACTTGATTTGCTCAATGAAAATTAATGCGAGCTGAGCCCACCCACATGGGCCTAAGCCCATAAAACCCCAAACCGAAACACAAACACAAGATTCTAGTCACCCAGATGTGTGCGACTTTTGTTCGGGGAATCACTTCAATTTACGCCCACCGGAAAATTCGCAGGCGCAGGCGAAATTGGAAAAGGAGCCTAGAACTCAGATGGCAACAAAATCGTAGGACAAAAGAAGGACAATGCCACAATTGAAAACGGCAAAATAAAAGGAGACCAGGCGCACAAAACAATTTGCCGATTTGCATATGAACATTAAATTTGTAGTCAACTCGATGGCAAATATATGTGTGGTACTCATACATATGTATTCCATTGTAGATAGAAAGTACAACTTTAGCGCTGACTGATTTCCATATAATTTCATTTTGGGACCTACCCCAATTTATATCTGCGTGTGCATAAGTCACTTGGCCTATCAAACCATTTGAAGTCCGGAAATGTGTCCATGAAGTTTTCTGGTTCTGGAACGTGATAATGCTGCTTACAACTTTTTATAAGTTTTTTTAAATGAACACATTGTTAGATGACGCAGTTCTTGGAAATCGTGCGGACTGCACAGTCACCTTATGCTTACAAACAATAGAGTTGTGGTTGTGGAAGGTCTTGTAAGCTTCTAATTCTTTTATAATAAAGCTCAAAGCCACAAAACGTAGTGTCTCTACTATGAAATTTAATATTCCTTAAGTTTGCCCACGCAGATTATCTCTGCCTCAGCCCGAATTTGGGGGCCAAAAATCTATTCTAATTGAGAAATTGAAATCTCTATCTGTTGGCTTCGTGCAAACATTTGCGTCCGTCAACGTCGCACATTTCTCGCATGCAAAGAAGCCCCATCCACGATTGTGATTGGTGATTGTTCATTCAGCAGCAGGCCAAAGCCAAAGCCGTAAATATTCTATGGCCAACGGATTGACGGGGTTGTTAGATGTTTCGATTTGTTGTGCTTCCCATCTGAATTTTCGCCACCGCCAGTGAATTTCAAGTCTGACTTGAGCCCAGATTTAATGCACCGAGCAACAACCTGACTTTGGCTTGGCATTAAAATTCAATTAGGCCAACGTCTCGGCCATAAAGCACGACCAAGAAGTAAGATTAGCGTTGGAGTGGAGTGCTCTTTACTTGTCCGTCCTTTCAGCAGCAGTGACGTATGATTTCAGGGATTGTCCTCGGCACGGAATGTGACGTGAACGGCTTTCGGCGCAGCTCTCTTTTTAATTACGTAAAAATCTTGGAACACAAATACAATTAATTTCAAGGGGCATGGCTGGCAGATAAGAGTGCGCTGGCTGACCTTTGACTGTACCGCACCCTGGTTATCAGAATGCCTCGCATAAAAGTAAAACTTTGCGCTCCAAACGGAACAAATGCGATTGAGATAATGCCAATCGGCGTTAGATGGAGGCTCTACACGGAAAATTAGCTTTGAAAACTATGTAATGTGGCAGATAACCCCTGGGTTCGCCTATTCGAATGGGAGAGGTCGGCAAAAACTGATAATTGTCACAATTAAGCAGCTCGTCTTGGGTGCCTTGATGAGCTCACAATTAGAACGGGTGGTATGAAAATTGTTGTAGAAAACTAAAAACCCTACACTTAAATTCTCTCTTCTTAGTAACTATTTAAACTGGCGTGCTTAAGCAGGGCAATTAACGGATTTGCAGCAAGCTAATTCCCAGGCAAACGTGATTCTTTGTATTATGAATAAGAAAAGAACGGTGAAAAGCAGATAACATTGCCATCAATTCTTATACCTGTTACTGGTAGATAAAAAGGGTATACTAGATTCTTTAAAACTTATGTAACAGGTAGAAGGAAACGTTTCCAACCATATAAAGTACATATATTCTTAATCAGGATCAATAGTCGATCTGGCCACGTGCGTCTGTCTGTCCGTCCGTATTAACGTCGATTCTCAGGAACTATAAAAGCTAGAAAGTTAAGATTAGGCATGCATACATAGACGTAGCACTTCCAGCTGTGTAACGGGCATCTGATAGTCGGGGAACTCGCTATAGCATTTATATTTTTTCAATATAACTAAAATTTTATAGTTTACATTTAATGTTTTTGTTTGAATTTCAAAATCCGAAAAATACTAAATTCCTGAAATTGAAACTGAACTTCAAAAACTGATGGCTACCCTCTGTAGCTTCTCAGCAAGAGCACCGTTGTACTTAAATTTCAAGTGCCTCTTAAAACTGGATAAACAAACTCGTGCCGTGGCAACTTCAACATTGAAATTATAAATCTTTCGCATATGCCATAACCACAATTAAGTGGCCAACCACCCAAGCAACATTTCCACACGGACAACACAAGTGCTTCATTTGCAAAAATGGCATCGTTGATAAAAAACCAGAACCCCTCGAACAACATCATTATTAACTGCGTCGACCGACCGGTTTAGAAATTTAAAATCCAATTTGCATGGGATGCGAAAAAAAAAGCAACAGCGACAGACCAAAAAACATTTATGGACCATACGCAAGGTTTCCTGGTCAGCAAATTTTTCCCCGAAAAAATTAATCGGTTTGAAGGACTTTACCACAAAACCATCCACATCCAATTGCCGCCCACAAACCTTGACCTTCCGCGCGAAAATGTCAAATAAAGTTGTTTGCCTTTGGTAAAAAGTTCCTTCTTTTTTTCATTCATCGAGTCGTATGCATTAATAATAAATAAACAAGTAAAGTGGGCCAAAGCTTGTATAAATAAAAGTGAATGAAAGTTGGGAGTACTTTATAAATTATTAAAAATGCTAGATTAGATAGAAATTGTCTTCGTTTCGTCCCGCCGAATTTCTGTTGATAAGCAAATTTTAAATTACCAAATAATTCGGCCGAATCGTGTGACATTTTCAGATAAACACAAGAATATATATAATATGACATTATTAGCTTACGTATAAGGAAGCACCTTATTCCGATAAGTGTTTACGTAAACAAATTAATTGGTTGGAGTAGACACAATTATCGCCTGATGGCAAGACTTGGCTTATCTGCGTACACCCATTCGCCTTTGTGCAATAGTGATAAGAAGGAGCTCTTTGAGGAACCTCAAGTAAGAGGCGAAGTTTGCTTGCTTTACACAAATATCATAAACATGCAGTGTGAACGGTGCATTTCGAAAGCTTATCAATAGCGGATGTTTTCTTGTAACGTAGACGATTCTTTCAATCTCCTATATAAGAAAGAACTCTTCACATAGGAACTTAGTTTGTACACTAAATTTATGTCTGATTTAATCCCTATTGAAAAATTCCGTAAAACAACAAACAGCACAGCCCAATTACTCAGCAAATTTGCACTTTATAACTTCTCTTTCTTGACTGCCCAAGTTTTAAAGACTCTCGTAACAGGTTGCTTGTATAATTGCTGAAATAGGTTCAATGAACTCCAAAGTTCTCAAGTTTAACCCTTCACTTTTTCGCCAGATTGAGCTGTGAGCTGTATAATATAAATAGTTGGCAAATTTGGCCTGCTGAGTTATGCAAGATTTAAGGTGAGTTTGTAGCTGCATTTTAAGATTCCATTTCAAATATGAATATTCAGATGCTCGACTATACTATGCAAATTACAGTCGAATGTTGCCTCACATTTAAGAGTCAATTTCAAATGTGAATATTTGGATTTTTGGATGTACTATACAATTTTAATTGCAGATGAACGGAGCCCCAATTTGATAGCTTGTTAAGTCTGAACAGCGCGCGTTTTCAGGCGGGCTGACAAATTGTGTAAATATTTAAGCAGTATAATAAGTGCAGGAAAATTGCAAATATAGAAATGACTGTGCACGAGCCGAGCTAACCGTTCGCATACGAGTATTTACATCTTTTGTTATATGCCTGGAATGAAAGTGTTAATTATATTGCAGACTTGTGTAGTCACGCCCCACTGACCTGACCAACTTATTGAGTCATAATGGTAGCGTTTTTTGCGCGAGAAAACCTTTTTACGAAATCTAACTCCGCGTTGTTGACTCTGGTCACAAAGCAAATTTTAGTTAGCTGAATATGTATGTATGTCGGAATACATATATTCTTTATACGCAGTCAGATTCATTCGGAAACTAGAAAAAACGCCCACATCGCGCAATAGTTTAGTAACAAATTTGCTGGAAGAGGAATGACTAACTACTTAATAAAATTAAGGGCAACTTTTTGCAGATAACATCGCAAGTCGTAAATAAAAAAACGTACCTACTACACTAAAAGCAGAAAAATTCTAAATAATATATCTTATCTGAAGTGTAGGCTCCATTCGCATTATCTAAGCCACAAAGGTAATCTGGATTTTACAATAATTAATCAGCGATGATTTCAAGCAATGAGCTCATCCAAAAAGAGTACAAAATGGTTGCAATTATTATATTTATCACTGTGTGATATCACTGTGTGAGTAATATGATTAATTCCCTGTTTAATATGCACATTTACGATCAACAACAAAGGCAGCCACGTTGTCAATTTTTACAATAAATACTGCGGATGTGTCATTCTGCTTATCTTTGTTGGAAAACCTTTTCTCTGGAAGTCACACAAGTGGAATATATTTCAATCACGTTAGTTAACTAATTGCCTGCAATTTATGGTAAATTCACGAAATATCTTTTAATTGTTGGAGTGTTTCGTGCATTTTGTTGTCCACAAATTGCCAGATGCACTCAACTACTTTTGTTGCGGGGGTTTATCCACATCGCAGCAATTAGTCGGAATAATAATAATTACGCTGTACGGAAAAAGGCGTGCATAAATTAAAAGCTACTTCCTGTCATTGTTGTAGCCCAAAAACATTCCTATTGCACTATTACTTATTACTTAGCCCCCAGACTGACTTTATTCAGAAAGCCCAATGAAACTGATCGCGTGTCTAGCGAAAATGTCTGGCCACAAAGAATCGTAAACATCTATACATAAAGTACATATTTTGTATTGGGATTACTCGGCCCAAAGCCTCGTTGCACAGCTGATTCAACTTTGCACGCCGGCAACAGTTTCTAGCTAAATAATTCATTTATTGATTGCCATCCAGGCCAGACAAATTGACGCCGCCGCTGAGGGCCACCAGTTGCTCCTATTCTCTTTTGGCGTTCACGTTTCACTTGCCTTGTTAATAATTTATTTATAGGAAGCGATGGGTCTCAAGAAACCCACAATAGAAGCAGCTTTAAACGCGCTAAACAGCAGCGACCTGAAAAATACACAGAAACCAGCTGGACAAAAGTAGTTCACCCTGGTGCTAAAGGCTAGGTGCAGTTGCTGGCCTAAAAAACAGTCTATTTTGTTGGCACAAAATGACAAATATACATTTTGGACTAAATGCCAAAGTACGTTTCGATTAAACCATATTGCAAATTCAATTATGTCTTTTTGCTTGGTGGCTGTGGCAGTTTCAACTGGTTTTAATGGCATTGTCACATTTCGCACACTCATTCAAATTGAATTAAAAATTTAGTTTATTTATTTTGATTTATATGTTACGCTCTTCAAAACGATGATATTAACTTCCGAGAAGCTGAATGAATACATTACAGAAGCAAAAGTTCAACATTTTTAAAATTTTTTAATCACCATTCTTAAAACTTTATTCTTAAAAACTTCCACTAAATAATAAACTAGTTGCGATTGTTCTGAGTATAACATTCTTATCGAACATCCCACAAAACATTAGTATACCCGACATTGTTTTCCCAAATCAGCATGAAGGCTGATAAATCTTCCAATAATTGTCATAAACCCCAGCGAAAATAGCGATTATCGATGACATTGTGCCCAATACCGTATCACTGGGAGCACAATAAAGATAAAACCAGCCCCTTGGGCCCCGTGGTCGCCAAAATCGACCAGAAATCATGACATAACTAATAGATAGGTGGGGTGGTCTGGTCTCAAGTGCTGGAAACCGTAGTTTGTCGCGCCGTACCAGGAGAGAATTTCGCGCGATAAGCGGCTTGAATTGCCAACAGATAAGCCGAGATACCAGGTATTTGCCGAGTGGGTTTAGTCATCCCATCGTGGGCCAGATAAAGTGGAAAAGGGTTTGCTTAGAGAGATTCAGGTACCGGGAGTTACCATCCGGGATGCCAGAGGATTCTAAACAACTTCGATTGAAAGGGATCTTCGAGAAAGAATTTTTAAATGTGTATATGTAGACAAACAAGCATGTTTTATAGTTATTAGATAGATTGCAGGGAGAAAAGTGCCATATCAGAGATTTTTCAAAGAATTATTATTATACAAGAATAATAAAGCCGACAGGATGTGCAGGTGTTTATTTTCATTTGAATACACAGCGTTCAAAAGTGATTTGTACTATTTTTGTGTGCTGTACAGTCAAAGAAAAATAGCAGCGTTCATGATAGATTTATTGCTCAAAAAAGATATAATTTCGATATAAAAACTGCAATATCATTAGCAAAATCAACAGAATGTATATAGCTACCACATTTCAGATTTTTCGTTCTCATTTGGGAAAATTTAAGGAATGAATTTAATGAGCTTCGCAGATGCTAGCAATATTTTAGTTTCCTAATAATCGGCACCCATTTTAGATTACAAATTTAGTTACTTGAACTAGCTAAGTCTTACCAGAAGAGTATTCTCAGCGAATTGGCCACCAGCAGTGCCAGGCACACGTACAGGGAGAATCCCTCCGCGTCCTGCGTCTTCTTGATCTCGATATATTGGGGGACGTAGGGGATCACGCCCCCAATCACCATCGCAGAGGCGGCGGCCCAACCCACCACGTGACCGACCGTCAGGCCCATCTCATCGTTGATGATCCAATCCATTGTGAGCTATGTATCTCTGTTTACTTAGAATTTGGTGCTATTTTGTTTTATTCGGTTGGTTAGTTCCTTGGAATTTATGTTTTGTCGTTTAGCGGATATGTGTGTTATTGATTTTATCTTATGATTTTTTGACTAGTTTAAAAGCCGGCGATTGGAAGTAGTCGTTGTTGTAGTTGCTGGATTTCGCATAGTTTGCAGTAATAACTATTGTTTGTTTGACAGTGTAATGCAGGAAGGAAAGAGTGTGGAAGTCAGCTGTGTGTGCTATTGTTGTTTTTTGTCGTTTCGCTTTGATCTGCTACTTTTGCACACGCACACACTAACGCACACCCACACGTAGGCAGCGAAGATATTTATTTTCTATTTCCCTCTCACTCTCTCACTCCCACTTTCTCGCTCTTTGAAATTTTCCTGTGTTTTCGTTTTCCGCGTTTTTTGTATTGAATTTTCACCGAATATTCTCTGCCCGTTTTCACGAATCGTCACCGATTTTCCTGCGCACACTTTTCTGGCAGCGGAAAACACTAGACGAGAAAAGCGCTGCAATCACAAATCGCTCCATTTCCACGCAAACACATCAGCACACTTCATAAATGCTCTCGGCATTTCAATTGCATTTCCCCGTTGCCTTTTCCTTTAATTGAGTTAAATTTTTGTTGTGGCTGCAGCAGTTGTTGTTGTTGCTTTTGTTATTGTTCCGGAAAATTGTACTTATTCACCCACTAATTGCTGTCGCTTGCCGTCGTTTGAATTTTCGTTCTTCGCACACTCGGTGGTCAGTTTTCCTTTCACCTCGCCTCAGTTTGCATTTCCTCTGCGAGTTTACGGAAAAACTGTCCGCGGATCAACCGCACGCAAGCAAAAACAACAACACAAACAAACGTACACAAGTTTCGTAGCTGGTGTTACCAGTCAGCGAAATCCCAAAACTCACATTCCCTAACGCATCGACCCGATAAGCCAATATGGTCACTTTATTATTCGATAACATTTTCCTTATACCCTTTTCCAACCGGTTTAAATAGCCTTTGACTAATGTACTGTTGAGTACCAATTGACGTACCTACGGTGTTACCGGGGTATTTGTACCTACATAGCAATATATCAGATATGAAGAAATTTATAAAGTTTCAGATATTGGAGAGTTATTTGTAATAAGTATATATTTAATTTTTTTAATTCACTACTTAGTTTTGTTTAAAAGACTACAAAATTCAACTGATACCAACGAGCTATGATAAATTAGGCTTTACAATTTTTGTTTAATGGTCGTTTATTATACAAATAACTGTACAAGTCGCATTTATCACAGTGAAAACTGAAAATTGTATGAAATAAAATTGAACTAAGCAAAAATAAGGGTGACACAATAACATTTCGATTTGATAGAGATGGTTGTTAAAAATACGTTAAGATACAAGTTAGTTCTTCTTTTTCTTCTTGTCCGGTTGGGCCAATCCCTGCGACTCCTGGTATTGGCGCACAATCTGATCCTGGACATCTGGGAGACAAGGTGAGTACCTGGAGTACTCCATGGTGAACTCACCCTTTCCCTGGGTACTCGATCTAAAAATAAAGATAAGATATATTTTGATACACATGGCCGTTTCCAATGCTGACTGAACTTACCGTAGCTCTCCTGCATAGCCAAACATGTCGTTCAGTGGAACCTCCGCGTAGACAGTGAACCAACCTTCGGTTCCCTCAGTTCCGGTGATAATACCATGCCGTTTGCTCAAGTGACCCATTACTGCACCCTGGAATTCCTCGGGTGCAGTGACCTCCACCAGCATAATGGGCTCTAGGATTTGCCAGCTGCCGTTTTGGAAGACTTCTTTGATGGCACCATGGGCAGCCAACATGAAGGCCAGCTCACTGGAGTCCACGATGTGGTGACCACCATCTTGCAGGCGGAATCGAATACCGGACAACTTGTGACCGGAGAGCATTCCCTTTTCAGCCATCTCCCTGTAACCTAAGCAAAGAGCATATTTAAAGCGGAACATAAGGAATGTCATTTTGGTTACCCTTTTCGACTCCAGGGACAAATTGTTTTGGTACATTGGTGCCCACTGTTTCGTCCACGAATTCCAGCAGGGTGTTTTGGGTTGGCGGCAGTGGTTCCATGATACCAATAATCCTGGCGTATTGACCCGATCCTCCCGATTGTTTCTTGTGCAGGTAATCAAACTCACACGGTCCCACGAGAGTTTCCCTAAATGCTACTTTTGGCTTTCCCAGCGTCACTGGGCAACCGTATTCCCTCTCCATTCTTTGGGCATAGATTTCCAAATGCAATTCACCCATTCCCGAGACAAGAGTTTCCTTTACATCGTTGTCGAAAAAGAAGTGGAATGTGGGATCCTCTTTTGTGAATCTGGCAATAGCCTTTGAGAAATTGTCCCTATCCTTGGTATTATTTGGCTTAATGGCCATTGAGACAACGGGCTCCGGTACAAAGATGGATTCCATAGACAGATTGTTCTTGGGATTGGTGGTGAAAGTGTCACCGGAGGCGCAATCAACTCCAAACAATGCGAATATATCGCCGGCGTAAACCTCGTTTACGTCTTCCATTTGATTCGAGTGAAGTCGAACCAAGCGAGCAATTCTCACTTTCTTGTTGGTGCGAGCATTGAAGATGTTGTCGCCCTTCCGCAGAACTCCTTGGTAGCATCTGAGGTAGGTTAGTTGGCCAAAGCGACCGGCTTCCAGTTTAAAAGCCAAGCCGACAAAAGGATCCTTGCCATCACGTGCGGGATTTAAGACTATTTTTTCTGGGTCTTGTCCTTCCTTCTCGATAAAGCCCAGGTTCTCCACCTCTCCAGGATTGGGCAGGTAATCAAGTACTGCATCTAGCAGTGGCTGGACACCTTTGTTTTTCAGTGCTGTGCCCACCAAGACAGGTGTGAAGGTTCTGTTGATGCAGGTTCTCCTTAAGGCCGCCTTGATATCGTCTTCTGTGAACGGCTTTTCTTCCAGAAACAGTTCCCCAAGCGTTTCGTCCGCATTGGATAAGTGTTCTATGAGCTCCTGCCTTCTCTCTAGGCTCTCCACCCGCATATCCTGTGGTATTTCGTCCAGCCTAATGTCCATTCCGTGCTCGCCTTCAAAGTATATGGCTTTCTCCCGCACTAAATCCACGATGCCCTTGCAATTGCTCTCCACTCCAATGGGCAGCTGAATGAAAGCAGCGTTGTGGTTCATTTTGGACCTCATCTGGGATAGAACTCTATAGGGATTCGAACCCAAGCGATCCAGTTTGTTGATGAAGGCCAGACAGGGCACATTGTAGCGCTTCATCTGCCGATTGACCGTCAGGGTCTGACTCTGGACTCCGCCCACGGCGCACAAGACGAGAACGGCACCATCCAGAACTCGGAGTGCGCGCTCCACCTCAACGGTGAAGTCCACATGTCCGGGAGTATCGATAATATTGATATTGGTGTCCTTCCACAGCGTGTAGGTGGCTGCTGATTGGATGGTGATGCCGCGCTGCCTCTCCAGCTCCATGCTGTCCATGGTGGCACCCACATTATCCTTTCCCCGCACCTCGTGCATTTCCGCAATCCTGCCGGTGTAGAACAGAATCCTCTCCGTCAAGGTCGTCTTTCCACTGTCTATATGCGCCGAGATTCCTATGTTCCGGATCCTCTCGATGGGCTTGTGCTCCGAGAACTTCGCATGCGAACTGTAGCCGGCCTGAAAAGTTATACGTGCATTAAACTACATTTCTTATAGCGCTTACATAACTAGCCGATGGAATTTCGGATATTTTTCAGATTCCAACGAACCTTTCCCAGCGACTCCAATGCCCGGATGCGCAGGTGGTTGTTCCCGGTCAGTAAACGGGTAATGAGCGACATCCTGGCCAGGTTTTAATTAAAAACTACGAATTTAACCGGAAAACACGCGCTCGTGGAAAACCAAAACAAGACTGTTATCGATATGCGGAGGCGGTTTCTGTGCTAACCTATCGGTTTCTACCGGACAAGTAATATAGTAAGACCATGGCTTGTTACCGATAAAATACCATTAAAAAAGTTAGCTTAAAAAAGTTTTTTAATAAAATATATTGAGAAAATGTAACCGAAAATTTATAAAAATGTTTAAATCCTTTGAGAAAGAATAATAATAAGAGGAATACAACCATATACACTATCAAAATCCCAAAAATTTGCCTTACAAATCTTAAAATACAACAGTTCAGAGTCCAAAATATGTAACTTTATTTTATACATTTATTTTTAACAAATTCCTTTACTGTGGATTGTATACGATTGGCTTCCGGTATTCGCATGATATGTAGCCAGACAATTACATAGTTTGTGCCAAATTGCACTTTGGGGTATATATGCGCAAAAGGGACGGTAGGTGGTGGTACATACATATGTATACATCATAAGTATTAGGACTGATTATAGACACGTAATTGATTTACAGGTACACAGATATACGATAAAATGAAGTTAAATCATTGACTCAAACGGATGTTTCTGTTGGTGTAAGATATCCACGCCACAATTGCTTCGACGTATTAAATTTTCGGTTCTGCAATAACGAAATTCGAAATTAATATCCGTGTTCTACGGGTGGGAGTACCAGGTATAATCTAGGTTTGGTTCATCTATTTACGTACACATTTACTATATAGAATTGAGTGTGCACATACAGACATCAAACACGATGCTAATGGAGCTTTGATGGTCTGATGGAACGAGAGTTTGAAGATGATCAGAAATATTCAAAAATTTCGTTTGTTTTTATTGAAGCTGTAACTCTGTTTGTGAATTTACAAGATCTTCAGAAGTAAAGACGATAGTCCACAAACTCTGATTCTCAGTATTTATGATCAGTATGAAATTCTGATTTAATGGAAGACAAGCAGAACTCGATCATGTGCTAGAAATGAGTGATCAGAGATATAGATTTTGGGAGCAGAGGTGCCACACTCAAGACTCACAACTATGCACAAAATACACTGAAAACGAATGATGCAT